TTCGTCCGCCAAAATGGCCAAGTCTCACAGCTGAGTAAAGTAAACATTGACGAAATGACTGACGAGGAATTGCTGATGACAATGCACAGTTACCCGGACAACATCGATGTATAAACGATATTTGGTATAGAGTAAATAAAACATACTGACAAAAAAAAAATTCAAAGTTACTGTAGGATAGTAAAATCAGAGGCGTAGCAAGGGGGTGGCGGGGTGTGCGGACCGCAACGGCGTGACACCATTTAGGGGGGTGACACCAAGACAAAAAATAGCAAAATATATAGACAATAACTTGAGGGTTGGGTGCAGATCGAAAGTTTGAGGGGGGATGCAAATCGAAAGTTTGAAGAGGGGGGGTGCCTCTGGGGGGGTGACACCATTAGGTACCGCACCGGGTATCACCCGACCTCGCTACGCCACTGAGTAAAATAACATTAATATAACAACTGATAGTTCCTAGTGGGTATATACGGATGTCTATATATAGCGTCATGTAACGGCGTATTTTAGGATCTAAAACTCACAACTCTTGAGTCAGTACGTGTACAACTTCCATGAGCCCAATTAGCTCTAGCTGTTGTCTGACACAAGTAAAGCATATGTAAAAACATATCTTTATTTAACTGACCACGTTATCGAGCTGTATATAGTGGTCATAGAGCAGGTGATCCTTGGAGTGTTAGGTCCGTAATGGTAAACTTGCTTTACTTTTCTTTATATGACGTCCTGGACTTTAAAGGACGGGCACTGTTAAAAGTATTTATTTTCTATATAAATTCCATTTCGGTTTGTATGCGAATGCGGGTGCGTATACGTATGCGAATGGGCATAGGCATAGGAATGGGCAGGGGCACGTGTGTGTTCATTAGTGTGCGCATGTGAATGCGAACGTGAATGTGAAAGTAAATAGTACATTGTTAAGATATTTAATTAAACGTAATGATTTTTTCCTAATATTTAATTATTTGAATTATAGGTACTCTGTCATAGAAAGATTAGGATGGGTGTTGTTGGTGACGGTGGCTGGGAGATTTGTGACGACCCAGAAGTGAGGCCGTCTCAGCCCTGCATCATCTACTCGTTTGGCATCAACAACGATTTCTCTTTCGATGATGACGCGGCTAAAGTTTACGGGTGTCACGTGTATAGTTTTGACCCAAGCATGAGTGGCCTAGAACATTACAATAGGTACATTAGAGAAACATTTATTTTAAAAATGTGATGTTCATCAATCACTGTGAAATTTTAGAAAAACATAATGTGTAAAAAACGATTGTATCTATCACAAAATGTATAATCTAAATTCCTTTAAAACAAAGTATTAATGAGTGTAACATTTTTATTAGTCCACATGTTCATTTCAACCCATTATAGAAATTCAATTAAAAAAAAAATCTCAACTGTCAGTTGTTTTTATTTAAACGTGCAGGTCAAATCATGTGCACTTCTACAAGCTTGGCCTAGACGGAAAAACGTACACCAACAGCAGAAACTGGACCATGCTCACGCTCGCTGACATTCGGAAAAAACTGCGTCACGAAAACACGCCCGTTGACGTCATCAAAATGGACATTGAGTATTCCGAATGGCCGAGTATTATGGAGATGACTTCTTCACGTGCGTTGGACGGTGTCCGGCAGTTGTTAATCGAGTACCATGTTTATGGCACCACTCGCGAGGAACTTCTGCCCAGGCTGAAGGCCATGAAAGCCATTGAAGCTGCCGGCTTTAGAAGATTTTACTCCCATAAAAACGTGTACACCAAGTATTCGGTTCCAGGGTTTCCTGTTGAGAGAACATTTTGCTACGAACTTCATTACCTGCGCCATTAATTGCAAGATGTGTTTATTTATTTAAACGCCAACACGAATGAAATACATGATAGACCAGAGAAAATTAAACCTTTCTAAAAATACATTTAGAATATTTAAGTTAATCATTCAATATTTAGTTTGATCACTTGTTTAAATATAGTCCATACCCTAATCAAATTTTAAGTTTTAAATTTCTAATAAAATTAGTTAACATTGTTTTCCAACAGTTTTTAAAAGCCAACATGGAAGAACTTTAGTATTTTTCAAAAAACATTTGAATTCAGTTTGAACCATGTAACTCTCTGATAATGTCCAATGTCTAACATGAGTATAGTTTAGATCTGTCTGTCGTCTATGCAGACACGTCAAGAGTTTTCCTACAATGAGATAACTTTGTAGTAACACTCGCCAGGTTTTGATGAGCAGATAAGACAAATATATGGCATGAAGGCGAATTCATTATGAGACTCGATTTCTGTTTCTTTCTTCTTCTTCTTCGTTTTTAATTTTTAGTGTTGAATGAATCGAGCAATATCTGCAAGAGGGTTTGAACTCGAGACTATTTCGAATTAATCAACCATTACTTTTGCCGACTCGACCATGCTTCCATCACAATTAAGGATTACGTGTCAACTGGTTTTGCGCCATTCAGGCCATTGACTCCGATTTCAGCCTGCTTTTCTTTTTGGATTTGCTTCCATAGCCTTTGTTAAACCAAGAACAAACTACAAGGCAGCAGTTGTTTGATTTTGGAGTTGTCTCTCCTAGAAGAGTGGCTGTCCCCAGCTAACGAGCCTCATCTGCCCGAGACGATTTCTGTCTATGTGACATATTTTCCAGTCAAAGTACATAAACGATTTTAAATATTTTAATACAACACTTAATGAAATTTAACAAATAAAATTTAAATAACGTAAAACAAGTGTGAAATTCTACATATTAAAAAAAATTATTTTACGGATTTTCAATCCATAATTTACATTGAAGCGTGTTCAAATTTTCCATCATTTATTTGATAACAGTAAAGTAAATAGCAAAATTCACTGGCCTAAAATCTAACCATAGGAACTTCCTTACACGTTAGCCCGTGATATATTGGCTCCATTTAAATGGGGTCGCAGCATTTTACTTCCGACATTTGGGTACGCGACACTTCGGCTCCTGACAAATGGGTTTACGTCAGATTAGCTCCCGAATTATGGTCTCACTACATATTGGCTCTCAACTAAATGGCTTTTGACAAATTGGCCTAGGAATAATAAATTTATTACCACTTTTCGGCATAACGTAAAGATTTTATCCAACCTACCCACCTCATATGTGTCCACTAAAACCATCAACTCTTTAAAAGAAAAAAAAACTTGTTCACCAACCAAAAGCAACTCATTAAAAATTGCCACTCATTTTAATACTTTGATAAGGCGTTTTAATAATATTGAAAAAGTTTAAATTTATGATATTGAAGATGTTAACTTCAAAAACACATCTAATATAACGCTGCTAAAGTTTCCTCGAATGTAATGTTGCACCCTACAATCTTTTGTCATTACCTCGGCACGTGAAGAGATAGTATGGTCGGCACTATGGTGAGTAGAAATTGTTTCCCTGAGTCAGATAATTTTCAGAGCTGGGAGTACTCAGGAAGTTCGTGTTGTCGAGTCTGAACCAAGATATTCGGGCTAGAAGCCGAGCGCTCTACTATTCGACCACACCGTCCCGTGAAGAAACTGTATGGTCACTCTCTATTACAAATCACATGTCAAGCCGAAAATGAACATTCTAATACCAGATCGCCTGCCAACTATTTGCTATGCATGTTTAGCTAGAAGTTGCCTAGAATTTATAATGTTCGACCAATCATAGGTCCATAGTGCAGATGCTAGAGTAAATCATTTTCTATCAGTCTGATATAAAGGCGTCTTGAAGTCAATTTTCTATAACGCGCCCTCGATTAATAATACTCTAATTAATCATTCATTACACTGACGCCTCTGCTCACATCTGTTTGACGACACAGGGTTGTCTGTTCATCCACGATGATGTCATGACCTCAGGTTTACAACCTTCTAAGCCTTGTCATTTTTTTTTCTCAACAACTATACAGAGGCGTAGCGACCCTTCCCGGCGCCCGGGGACAAACTTACAATTTGGCGCCCCCCTAGGGAGCAAATTTCCAATTTGCACCCCCCCCCCCCCCCTCAAACTTTCGATTTGCACCCCCCCTCCCCCCTCAAACTGCAAAAATGCAGCTATGATGTCATTTTAATTTGTTTTTACAACCCATTTTGGCGCCCCCTATGGTCGGCGCCCGGGGACATATGTACCCCCCTGCCCCCCCCCCCCCCCCCCCATCGCTACGCCTCTGCAACTATACATTAAGAAAAATCATTATTAATTGTATGAATTTTTTTGTAATGGCTAAGATTACCTTGACCTAATAATAACTAACAAGATACTGGAAATATATCAAAACCATTCAGTGAAGTCAAGTTCAACGTCCGCCTTACAGAGATAAATCTGTCACTTGGTTTATTCGGATTTAAAACAGGAAATTTTATTCCCTATTTCAAGAACGCCTGTTGGGGGTAGTCACGATTTTAACCTTCCACGTCTACATGTATATCACATGCATCATGCTGAGACAAGCCAAGATAAGGCTTAACTTAATTTCACTCGAGAACAGCGGGATGTTACGTAAGTTAGTTTATTGAGGGAGGGGATTTAAACACTATTTTAAAAGCAGCTCGATTCAGAATTGACAAAATCATTTCACTTTTGTATAACTTAGGCGCAGAGTCGTTGCGACCACTCCCAGCACAAGGGAAGAACTTACAGTTTGGCACCCCCCCCCCCAAATATATATATATATATATATATATATATATATATATATATATATATATATATATATATATATATATATATATATATATATTTCTCAACATGTAAAATAGATGTATATGACAGTTGTTACTGAACCATACATTTTTAAAAATTGTGTGACTTAATCTAACACAAAAATTTTGGGCCTGACTCGTAAATCTTTAATATTGATAGGATTTTTTTTTAAAAAAGGAGAGGTCGCCTAAATGTACTTTCATTCAATAAAATAATACAGAGTTACCTCCCGACAATACTCACTAACCCCTCCCCCCCCCCCCCCCCCCACACACACACCTTGTAAAAAACCTGACTACTAAAAGAAAATGTTGACATACAACGATTCAATGTCTTGAATAACTTTCATACACGGCCCGATCGATTAACATTACGTTGTAAAATATGTATAAAATAAAAATTGAATTCATCCTAACCTTACAGCTTCAGACAGCTATAGATATTCTACTTTCAAAACATTGACCATCACAACTTTATCAAAACTCAACCCCCTTTTTCAAGTGAAATATAGCAGTAAAGAGGCCGTATTTTAAAAGAAAAACATTAAGAAGATCAAGCTAACCTGTATATTCAAACCAGTTTTCTATAAATGGGAATTTTCATCAAAATAGTGTAAAAAAGTAATGTATAAAATCAAGAACTATTTTTCTTTGCAATTTGATTTTGTAATTTTAATGAATCGAATAAATTGACAGCTATATTGACCAGTTGCTAGGGTAGGGGAAACTATTCTAACATAATTTATTCAAGCATGCTATATTGTGAAAGGTCAATTACTTGTGTATTATGAGGGACGCGTTAAAATAAAATGAAATGAAATTATTTCAATTTGGTACACATAAGAAAACATGTGGGTTTCATTTATACTGGGGGGCAATTGTCCTCATAATAACAATGTTCTGAGTCTTGTTTTATTTAGCTTTTAATAAGTAGATACTAACGATTACTTTCCTTCATAAAACCTGATTTATTTTTTTCAGGGTGGCTATGGCCTGAGGATATTGCTCAAAGAATTACAAAGTTCTAAGCCTTTAAAAAAAAGCATTATTAACTACGAGCCAGCCCGCGGCATAACATACGCAGCTATTTAGTTGTTGTTTTTTCTACTTTTCAGTAATTCATAATTTGTGAATTCGACAGTACCAACGCTGACACTGAAAATATTTCTTAAAAACACTATAAGTAGCTCGTTAAGGACCATAACCCCCCCCCCCCCCCCCCTTTCCTTCCCCCCCCCCCCCCAAAAGTTTAAAATCGTTTCAAACTAAATTATCTGCCACTAATAGCCGTCACTAAACCCGACTCCACGAAGGTAAACATAGCGTGAACCACAGCTCACTAAGACCATGTAGGGGTGGGGATGGTAAGGAGCACGTTTACAGCTTGTTTTCTAGCGTCTCCCAGAAGAGAATTATATATATAGATAATTGATAATCCTCCTTAATAAAAACTGTCTTTTTTCGGGGCGGCTAAGTATGATTTTACCTTCACCCAAGATTTCAAAGTAATTTAAAATACATTAAAACAGAATGACGTCACCTCAACAAAAAAAAACCTCTATTCCAAGTTTTCAATTAGCATGTTGGTGGTAGTCACGACTTGACCGTTAACCCTGACATGTACACGGCAAGCATCTTGTTGTCAAGCCAGAGGCGTAGCGACCCTTCCCGGCGCCCGGGGACAAACTTTCAATTTGGCGCCCCCCTCGAGAACAACCTTTCAATTCTCAATTTGCACCCCCCCCTTCAAACTTTCAATTTGCAACCCCCCCCCCTAACCTCAAACTTTCAATTTGCACCCCCCCCCCATTTATTTTTTATATTTATCATGCAAAACTGCATCTAAAATGTTATTTTAATTTGTTTTTAGAACCCATATTGGCGCCCCTAAGGTCGGCGCCCGGGGTCATATGTACCCCCTGCCCCCCCATCGCTACGCCTCTGTGTCAAGCAGATTGGCTGGGATTAAAGCTCAACTTTTTTCACTCGCGAACAGCGAGGGTATGGCATGTCATAGTTTATTAGGCGAGGGAAGCGGAGAAAAACACTAATATAAACATCGCAGTGCAGTAGTGATTACGTCTAATCCAAATTGTTTTTAGCACTGTTTACATTTTGAATCGACTTTTTCGAACAGAAACGAGTCAGTTAAATAAATATATAAATATGTTGAGGTTTTGTGTGTATTTGGATAACGTATTTAAAACAAAGAGTTTATTAAAATGAATTAGGGTCATCAGCTTACAACAGCTTTATATTCTTTTCTTTGGATAATAATGTAGGGATAGGGTGGTAGGGAGCGCGCTTACAGCTTGTTTTCTAGCGTCTCCAAGAAGAGAATCTATACATATTAAGCAAAGTGGTCAAGTGCCCAATCGGGCACTTCCCGGCGCCGCAGGCGCTTTAAATTTGGCATGCGTTTGCCTGTGGGCGATAGAACACGAGAGCCGATGCCGGATGGCCAACAACTCCATGTAGAGGAGGTCAAAACTGACCTCGACTGACCGGCGCCTTATATGGGCTTCATTACGAAAAAAAAACTTTCGTCCGACGACCCCCCTTGAAATTTTGTGAGGTGGTCGGAGAACGCATTGGGGTGTCACAAAAATCTCGCCATGTCCGAAGTACGAAGTATAGAGAATGTCTTGTAATCGTGCAAAAAAAAAAAAAAAAAAAAAAACGAGATTTCTGCAAATCTCGACGTTTTATACCTCACTGATACGGAAAAACATAATTTCGCAATCTTGTCCGTATATCTGTGTATCTATGTGTCTGTGTGTCTGTGTGTGTGTAAAAACAATAACTTGAGTACCGTTACATCTAGGTTGATGAAATTTCATATATAAGTATTTTATCAAAATCGAAGATCCGTATCAACTTTTGAGCGATTTCCGATAATCGGAAGTGGTACTTTTTCTACTTTGAATTTTTCAAAAGCCTATAACTTGAGTACTATTTCAGATCGATAAATGAAGTTTCACATGTAAGTAAAAGATCTAATTCTCTACCTTCTGTCAAATTTTGACCGTTGACCGGAAGTAGTAATTTACGCTATTTCCGATTTCTCAAAAAAAGCATGTAAATTTATAAAGTACTATAATATTCCGCAATATTATGCACATTTTCTTTTGGCGTTTGCTTGGTACGCAATTCTTTTTCTATGAGATTATATTCTATTTAAAAAGTTTAAGTATTTAAAATGGATTAAAAACATAACTATATCCCGAGGTCCCATCCCCTGTTGTTTTATATAAGAATATTCGAGAAAGTTTAGGGCAGATCACTCCCGGTTTATTCTATCATAGAGTTTACAAAAACGTCTCTACTTTATATCATAGTACCAAAAACATTTTCTTGAGTCTAAAAAGGCCTTCAGTCTTGTAAGCCATAATAATTTTTTCTACATAAAGTTTAAAGAGGCCTTCTGTCTTTTCGACAAAGATGGCGATGGCACCATCACGACCAAAGAACTCGGAATCGTAATGAGGTCACTGGGTCAGAACCCGACAGAGGCGGAGCTTCAGGACATGATAAACGAGGTCGACGCTGATGGTGAGTACTTCATAGATTAGCCGTACCGTACACGTGATATCAGGTAGGTTACTCGATGGTGGAGACAAGAACATGCAAGGTGAGGTCGATGACGTCATTGGGTGGGGGCTGGTCAGTTCCTCCACTCCTTGTTTATTCCAATTGCGGGTTGGTAAAGAATCAAGACGATGGTTAATTACTGACTGACTAGTCAGTCATTGCTAAACGAATGTTGAGTTTAGTTAAGATGAACTCATGACATGAAATAGCTGAATTTTGTCACTTTGTATAATATTATCGATAAGGACAAGTGTATACACATTTCTTGATATAATAAAAGTAATTTTTTTCCTGATGAAGACATAAAGCCGAACATTTATTTACTTATTTTGTAAAACTTGCTTTAAACATAATTAAAACGTCATACGGCATAAATTCAAAATATCCGTTCACATTTTAGATTTTCACTTGCTTGTTTGTGACAAGACTACGACTTGAGCTCACAGTTTCGGAAAATTACTTTTTTTTTTGTATTTCTTTAATTGTTCATCTGGAAAATTTTGTTTTTCTTTGGCGGCTTTGACAAAATACAAATAAAAATTCGAAAAGGTTGTTAAAAATATTTAACCTGGTGATGAGTATAATTTTTTAAAATAATTTTTACTTTTTTGGTCACGCAACGAGATTTGACAAACGGACTCATCAATTGATTTCTGATTTTCCGGCAACGGAACGATTGATTTCCCAGAATTCCAGACGATGATAGCGTGGAAGATCAAGGACTTTGAGGAGGAGCTGCGCGTGGCGTTCCGCTTGTTTGACAAGGACGGCAACGGGTTCATTTCCGCCGCGGAGCTGCGTCACGTGATGACCAACCTGGGGGAGAAGCTGACGGACGACGAGGTGGACGAGATGATCCGGGACGGGCAGGTCAACTATGTAGGTGGGTGGTGTGGGGCAGAGGCGTAGCGACCCTTCCCGGCACACGGGGACAAACTTTTCGATTTGCACCCCCCCTCGAGATTTCGATTTGCACACCCCCCCCTCTCAAACTTTCGATTTGCACCCCCCCCCTCGAGATTTCGATTTGCATCCCCCCCCCCCTCAACCTTTCAATTTATTTTTCCAACCCATTTTGGCGCCCCTTAATGTCGGCGCCCGGGGACATATGTTCCCCCCCCCCCGCCCACCCCCCCCCTCGCTACGCTACTGGTGTGGGGGGGTAGTTGCTCAGTTCAGCTTTCTAAGAGGTGTCTTAACTGTTGACGTGGTAGTGTATAAAGGAAACATGCCACGCACATAATCCATAGTCACTTGGCGTCTTTAATCTACCAGTGGCTTCAGTAGAACGGGTGATATCCGGTCAGAGCTTCTTCCAGGCATCTCTTACCAGTGTCCGACCCCCGGAAAATGTTGATCGCCCCCCCCCCCGAAAATATCAAGTGCCTCCCCCCCCCCTTCCCGGAGAAAAAAGTCTGGAAGAAACACTGTACCCGGCGCGTCCAATTTGGTTGTAACCCCCAGAGTCTAAAAAACAACAACATGGCACTACAGTGTAGTAGACCATTGGTTATTTGAGCATTGGAAAAACCAATCACAAAGCCTAGGCCCTAATGATGTCTGTGTATCAGGCTCGCCTCTATCAGCAGGTCGTTACCTATACAGCTTGGTATCAGCAGTGACATGTGTCAACAAAAGCAGTGTCAACAAAAGCAGTGTCAACAAACACAGTGTCGACAAAAAACAGTGTCAACAAAAGCAGTGTCAACAAAAGCAGTGTCAACAAAAGCTGTGTCAACAAAAGCAGTGTCGACAAAAACAGTGTCAACAAAAACAGTGTCAACAAAAGCAGTGTCGCAGGAGCTGCTGAAAGGAAGCCTGGGTTCGTTATCCCATCGCCTGAGACAACCAAAGCTTTCATTAAAGAAAGCAAATTAGTTTTATTTTATATTTCCCAGTGTATTTAAAAGCTTACTGTTAAAAAGTTTTTTTTTAAATTGTTTTATTTTATAATTCCCAGTGTATTTAAAAGCTTACTGTTAAAAAGTTTTTTTTTTTTTTAATTTGTTTTATTTTTATTTCCGGTTACCTAAACGTATGGATTTATCCATCTTTACTTTCTTTTCCCGAATTTTTAAAACTAGTCTCTACAACTTACTGTATGTAAACTCTCAATGTTTAATTTTTGCGGCGCACATAACGTTTTTCTACCGGATTGTTTCTTCAGGTTTTAGATTTAGCTTTTGTTGTAACACAGTAACACAACTCCGATATTCCAAAGTTAGTTACCATGATTTAGAAGGCTTATTTGGCTAGAGTTAGTTGAAGGTTTATGTTTAAAATGGTTGAGTTCCACCTGCATAAGGTAATAAAGATTATAGTTTAAAAAAAAAAAGTATCATTAAGCTAGTATTGTTTTTTTTCTTAAATAAGACATCAATAAAAAAAAAGAGGAATAAATGAGCCCCAAGAGAAAAAAAAATATTTTCTATTTTCCAGAATTTGTGAGAATGATGACAACAAAATGAGAATACCTGCCCTTTGATAATCGCCGCCATATTTTGTGTGCTATGGATGAGTACTACCCAGGAAGTTGATGTCATGACGACATGAACTTTTGATAATTTGAATGCTCTCAAGCCTATGTTTTATTTTAAATAATGTGATGAAAATGTTCATGTTTTTTAAATGTACCGATAGTGCTCAGATTATTGTAAAACAAAACATTATTGTAACTTTCATGTACTGTTTTTCATCGCTTCGGGCTTTGGCCGGTTAATGGGAGGCAATATTGGCCAATGCGCACATTGGCCGGCCAAATATATATATATATATATATATATATATATATATATATATATATATATATATATATATATATATATGAAAGATCAGTTTTAAAAAAATATCTTCAAACATGCACTTTTTTAAAATCGCTTATGCATCTTTGTATTTTTGTAAAATCGAGGTTGTAAAACGCCGATAACGTAGTCTTACCATCAGAGTTTCTTTCATGCATCTTTCACCAGGGGTCGATTTGCTCTTGAAACTCCCGGGGAGGGGACCAACGCTGGCATTTTCTATATACATTATACATTTTTTTCTTTTTCGTCCAAGTGTAACTTCTTCCCCAGAGAGATGCATGAAAAAAGTTATGAGTACAATTGTTCCCTCCCACCCAAGTGCTAGTTTTGTTAATATTGAAGGCACTACATCCTTCATCATCAAACTTCTAAAACTTCGGAAATAAATCGGCTGCGTTTTTTTTTTTCGGTTTAAGCAACTAAACGCATTGAAGAATTTATTTCCAAATCTTAGCTCACTTGCATTGAACAACAAGCTCACCGGTATATTATAGAGCTGCCTCACGTGCACATACATTTTGGCTCACCTACAAAGAACATCTAGCTCACCGGTATAGAAAACCTAGCTCACGTGCAGAAAATATAGATATGACCAACATAGGCCTTTCCTAACATTGGTATCCAAAGGCCAGATACACGCTTAGAAAATATTTGCAAACGCAAAGCTCCATTGTTTGGTAGAGTTTAAAGATTTCAGTTAATCTAAGGTCTAACGCTAGAGGGCTAGTCAGGCTTATTTGGATGTTTTCTAATTGCTTGTTTCGAAAATAATGTAAGCTTAGCATTTTTTCTTAATCCTCTAATGGCTTAAAAAGCTAAAATCAAAATATGAACACACCTAGATCTTGATTAAAAATATAAACAAATATCTGCGGGGATTTAAAGACATCCTGTTATATATATATATATAACCGTCTAACTCAAAAAAATTCGATTTTCTTTTTTTTACATAAATCAAAAGCCAATATGATTCCCCACAATGCCTGAAAATATTATAGAAATCTGTGGAATGATTATTGAGATATAATCATTTGAACAAACCGCCTATTATTTCTAGCGCTAAAAATCTCGGCGCAAAACGAATATCGCTATATTTGTCAGTACAATATTTTGATCGGGAACGCAGTCGCACGCCGTAATCACACAATTTTACAGCATAGCAGTCACAGTACTTATAGGTAAAGATATTTTATTAATTATGTTCAACTATTCTATTACATTTTATCAGTTTAAATAATAATAAACAAATAGTATTTGTTTAATATAGCCTATTTCCAGATTTTCTATAACCAAACTGATTTGTTTACAATTGTTTAGCTAACACAATACTTGGAAACTAGATATTTATTCTAGAATCTAAATATCAATCAAAACAATATAATTCGAATTATATTTACTCAAGATTGTGCAATAATTTTAATTATTGTTAATTCACTACTAGCTTTAGATTGAGGGTTTAGATACGTGTTAAGAAATGTTTATATGGTAGGTTACAAAATGTTTGGCGTACATGTTCAACGACATGGTTAGTTGTCTTTAGTAAATGCTTTTATGATTAATTTTAGAACAGACAAGCCTATCTCAACACACCAGCCTCTCTCAACATATCAGCCTCTCTCAACAGACCAGGATTGCGTAAATAACTGATAGCCTTATCTAATATATTAATTATGGTTAGACAGATTAGAAAGGTGTGTGTGTGTGTGTGAGGGGGGGGGGGGGAGGGTAAAAACTGCTTTATCGATCAGAAACTACCTTAAAAACTTTTACAATTCAAAACCAATACCATTTATTTATTTGTTATTGGTAAGTGTTGTTTAAAAAAAAGTAACATGCATTTAATTGAATTAATTAAACCAATTTAATTCATTAAGCTGAAAACCACTCTGCTGGTAAATGTACATAAATCCCAACTGGAGGCAGTTGACTGCGGCCATCGAATAACCATTTTATAATATCCACACCGGTTTGTATTCGTGTTTGTGGTTTTATTACATTATGGTTTGTTTTTTAAGTAGAGTTGTCTAAATACAAAAATACTAAAAACATGACATACATTCAATCTTTAATTAAGTCAAACAAAAATCAATCAGTCAGATTTTATAACCATATTTATTTTAACAACATGATTTTATAAAATATTAAATGGGTATTTCGAATAATTTCGAGGCTATTCTCATTTTGGTATATTTGAGTTTTTACTTAACGTAAAATTATCAACTTTTAAAATACCCTACACTATCTTAATACACTCCCATTTTTACATCAATATTTACCAAAAACAAAATTTGAGTTGACCTCAAAAAATAATAACAAATAAAAAATAAAAATAATCAGTTCAGGTTGTTCGCTCATCGATTTAATAAAATACGACAGTTGAACTGGCTCGGGAATAAATTGTAATTAACTAATTACAACTTGATTACCAATATTAAACAGACTTAATTTAACTCGTAAACTGAGGAAAGACCTAATTACAAGTTGACAGGTAATACTTAATTGTGTTGGAGGAAATACCCTAAAAATCAAGAACGATTGTTTGGTAGTTGAACTAAGGAATATAAAAATGTATATCAACAAACAGTACAATCAGAGGCGTAGCGAGGGTTGGAGTGGGGGGGGGGGGAGGGAGAAAGGGTACTGACCGCACCGTGTGACATAATTTAGAGGAGGTGACACCAAGGCAAGAAATAGCAAAATATCTACACGTTGCCTTAGGGAAAAATGTTTTGTTGTGAATCGAAATAATGTATATGTCAATCTCAGTCCCTGATGGGGGGGGGGGGGGGGGGTCAGTGACACCAAATTGTATAATTTACTACAAAAACAATGATTTTTTTAAAAAAAGGAATTAATAATACAATGTGAATTAATATGTTTGCACGAATTGACGCAATTCGACAAAAAGTTTGGGTGGTGCCTCCAAATACAAAATTCACCGAAGTGGATTGGATTGAAACCACATAGAAAATTTACAAATCTGCATATTATTGATCAAGCAAATTATCATACAACAGCCTACGATAGTGTAAGAGTGTGTATTTGTACGTGTGTGTACGTGTGTGATACCAATAGAACAATAGCTGCACATTTGATTGTGCGTAATTAATTTAGCCTTGTGTCGGGGTTCCTACGTTTTTTCATGTTGTATAATAATAAAATGTATGCTAGCCTATCAATATCAGGGTGTCATCGTTTATGTCGCCATTACCTCGTAAAAACCAAATTGCTTTGCATTTTTAATAAATTGTCCTTAATTACCGAAAATACAAAACGTCAAATATATTCCCTCAATTTTATAGTCCGAAAATATACAACCAATCAAGAATTTATAACCATATTAATTTTAATTACACTATGCATTATTTTTGAAATATTTAATGGGCTTTTCAATGCAGATAGAAAAAGAGGCTATCAACTTTAGCTGGCCAATCAAAAACGAACACGGTACTGTCTTAAATTTGAACGTATATAAAGCTTGCCCAAGACTAGCACATAATACGTGACCGGGTCTCTGAAACGGGAAGTTTTCTTGCATAGTAGCTAGTATTGTAGAACAATTCTATTATATAGAATATAAGAAGGTAAATGTAACAGTTCACCTGTATATATTTTTCAGGAATGTTACAAGAAAACTATTCATAAAATTTATCTTATTTCTGTTAAAGTACAAATATTCATATAATATTTATATTATATTTTAACCGTTACAGAAATGTATCTTAAGTTATGTTACAGTAAATACATTCATAAAATTTATTTTAAGCTATATTAGGGAAAAAAATTTATAAAATTTACCTTAAATTATGTCACAGTAAAAATATTCATAAAAGTTACTTATATTCATAAAATGTATCTTAATTTATCTATATATATATATATATATATATATATATATATATATATATATATATATATATATATATGTATATATATAAAGCAACGTATGTGTGTTTGTCTGTCTGTCTGTTTGTTTGTTCTTTATGCATTACTATACCTCTCATCACATCGCCGTGAAACTTTGCGAAGTTGTTGTGAATATTCCTGGGGAGGTTTCTGCGGAAAAAAATTTCAAATTCTCAGGTGTGGCGCCCCGGCGTTTTTTTTTTCTATATACGGTATATAAAAATAAAAGTCGATTTTTTATTTTGACACCATTCATCTGATCGCTATCAAACTTTGGTGAGTTCATTAGAACACTTTAAGGAAGGGTTCTGTAAAAAATCATTTTAATTTAACAAGGGCGGCGCCACGGGAGGGTGCGATTTTTCTCTATATACAGTATATAAAAAAATTAAAGTGAATTGCCGGGACACCGTTCACACGATCGACATGAAACTTTGGTAAGATGTTGAAAATACTCCTGGGTAGGTTTCTGCGCTAAAAACATTTTCAAATTCGCTGGGGTGGCGCCCCGGCAGGGCGCGATTTGTTTTTTCTCTATATACGGTTTATAAAAATAAAAGTTTATTTCGGTTTCACACCGTTCATTCGTGTACCATGAAACTTTGGGGAGAAGATTAGATCACTCAATGGTAGGGTTCTGCAAAAAAATATTTTTCTAATATTGCAAGGGCGGTGCCACCGGGGGGAGCGATTTTTTTTCTCTATAAACGGTATATAAAAAATAAAACTCGGATTCGGTTCATCGGAGTGCCATGAAACTTTAAGGAGTAGATGAGAATACTCCCGAGAATATTTCTGCGTAAAAGAAAACTAAAGTTTCTTATGGGCGGCGCCATGTAGGGTACAATTTTCGTCAATACACGATTTGGCGCCCAGAGTTTTAGAGTTTTAAAACACTTCCTGAGTGATCCATGCTTTTACTAGTGTTAAAATGTTTTATTCATACTTTACTATAAAATAAAAACAATTTAACATGGCATAATAATAAAATGCTGCAATTAATCACTAAAAAATATAAACTTTTGATTTGTGCTCTTTACACTACAGGTTTGATTGGTTAGATTCTTAATCACCCAAGCCCTAAAAATGTTAAAAATAACTATCCTGAAAAATGTGCTTGCTTTGTTTGTGATTGCTACATTGCCGCTAGCGGATGCAGGTAACATATATATATATATATATATATATATATATATATATATATATATATATATATATATATATATATATATATATATATATACATATACATATATATATATATATATATATATATATATATATATATATATATATATATATATATATATATATATATATATATATATATATATAGTTCCATGACAAATACCTATTACCTATACCTATATTATCTATATCTATCTTCTATCTTCTATATATATAAAAAGCAATGTATGTGTGTGTGTGTCTGTGTGTGTGTGTGTCTTTTATGCATTACCACACCTCTTATCACATCGCCGTGAAACTTCGGGAAGTTGTTGAGAATATTCCTGGAGAGGTTTCTGCGAAAAAAAAAATTCAAATTGGCAGGGGTGGCGCCCCGGCAGGGCGCGATTTGTTTTTTCTCTATACATGGTATATAAAAAAAAGGGCGGCGCCACGGGAGGGTGCGATTTTTCTCTACATACTGTATATAAAAATAATAAAAGTGAATTGCAGTGACACCGTTCATCCGATAGGCATGAAACTTTGAGAAGATGTAGAGAATATTACTGAGGAGATTTATGCGCTAAAAACATTTTCAAATGTGCAGGGGTGACGCCCCGGCAGGGCGCGTTTTGTTTTTTCTCTATATGTGGTATATAAAAATAATTAAAGTGAATTGTGGTGACACCGTTCACACGATCGCCATGAAACTTAGGAAAGTTGCTAAAAATATATCCGAGGAGGTTTAAACAGAAAAAAAAAATTCACATTCGCAGGGGTGGCGCCCCAGCAGGGCGTGATTTGTTTTTTTTCTCTCTATACGGTATATAAAAATAAAAGTCTATTCCGGTTTTACACCTTTCATCCGATCGCCATCAAACTTTGGGAAGTTGATTAGAACACCCCAGGAAAGGGTTCTATAAAAATATCATTTTTATTTTCGCAAGGACGGCGCCACAGGAGGGTGCGATTTTTCTCTTTATAAAAATTAAAAGTCGATTGCGGTTTCACGGCGTTATTCCGATTGCCATCAAACTTTGGGGAGTTGATCAGAACACTCCAGGGAAGGTTTCTGTAAAAAAAAAAAATATTTTTTTTTAAAAATTGAATAGGCGGCGCCACGGGATGGTGGGATTTTTCTCTATATACAGGTATATAAAAATAAAAGACGATTGCGGTTCGACACAGTGTATCTGGGTGCCATAAAGGTTTCTGGGGCTGGAGGGGGGTGAGTGGTGGTGGGAGGCGAGATTTAATTTTGCATGGGCGGCCCCCCGGCAGGATGCGATTTAGCGCCCTGGTCTTTCCCGTGAGCGCTATGGCGACTACGTTTGGTCTAAACAGTGTGACAGACAATGGATAGGATGGGGCGTTACAAACGCTGACTAAATTGAATCAGGCGTGTCCGCCGGCACCCTGGTATGATGCGATTTGGATGCAAAAAAAATATTTCAGTTTCCATCCCCAAAGGCTCAGTTGGGCCGCTGAAGGCCATGTATTGTGTTTTATTTTAATAATCAGAAAAATTAACCAAGTTTAGATTATTAACTGGGATGTTTCTTTTTGTCCGTAAAAAATCCAAACAGTTTCGTCACTTTGCGAATGATGCTATTAGCTTCTATTTTTAGACAATACAATCACAAATTGAGATCGAGCATATAATAATAGACCATTAGTAACGCTAACATATTGCATCAGTCACACTGATGTTTAAAACACGTCAAATAATATTTTACGTGCTAAAGAAAAAAATCCTGTTCATTTGTGTCACTTTAGCGAATGACGCAATCTGGATCATTGTTAACAGGATGCTATTTGGCACGATGGCGCCAGTTTGTTTTAAGGAGCCAGGGGCCGTACGTGGCGCCTATGCGGTAGTGTAATCGAGGAGGGGGGGTGCTCCTGAGAGCGCCCCTCTACATCCCTGACACATGGGTGGTCACCGAAGTGTGTTCTACCTGATTATTTCGGTGAATGATTAATGTACACATAAGGTTTTCACGCGGTAGTGTAGGTAAACCCGTGTCCCGGTGTTTATGATCCAAGCGCAGGCATTGTTTACATTTAAATAACTCACTTTTAAAAAACAAGTTTACGCGTCTAAGAATATAGGATTGGTAACGTATTGATGAAACCCTTCTTCTATCCTCGCAGCACATCCATACAACAGAATTTTAGTTTTAAATCCTGTGTTCTCTAATGGTGTAATTATGTATTTCGCAGGCAACACTTGTCCGGCCGGAAAACCCTTCATGTGCCGGTCCTCACCTACCTGTATAGCACTGAAGTTTATCTGTGATAAAAACTATGATTGTGAGGACGGATCAGATGAGGACCCAGCCGACTGTTTGGCCTGTACGTACAGGGTGTGGGGTGAGGGATTTGATGCGTGGGGGATGGGAGTGTGGGAGAGAATTGATGCTTGGATTGATAGATACTCGGGTGGATTGACAGATGCGTGAGTGGATGAATGGGTGGGTAGGTGGATTGAATCGTGGGTGGGTGGTTGTATTGATAGATGCGTGAGTGGATGTATGAGTAGGTGGGTTGATTGATGCGTGAGTGGGTGGGTGGATTGATGAGTGTGTGGGTGGATTGATGAGTAGGTGGGTGGATTGATGCGTGGGTGGGTGGTTGTATTGATAGATGCGTGAGTGGATGTATGAGTAGGTGGGTTGATTGATGCGTGGGTGGGTGGGTGGATTGATGAGTGTGTGGGTGGATTGATGAGTAGGTGGGTGGATTGATGCGTGGGTAGGTGGTTGTATTGATAGATGCGTGAGTGGATGTATGAGTAGGTGGGTTGATTGATGCGTGGGTGGGTGGGTGGATTGATGAGTAGGTGGGTGGATTGATGCGTGGGTGGGTGGTTGTATTGATAGATGCGTGAGTGGATGTATGAGTAGGTGGGTTGATTGATGCGTGGGTGGGTGGGTGGATTGATGAGTGTGTGGGTGGATTGATGAGTAGGTGGGTGGATTGATGCGTGGGTGGGTGGTTGTATTGATAGATGCGTGAGTGGATGTATGAGTAGGTGGGTTGATTGATGCGTGGGTGGGTGGGTGGATTGATGAGTGTGTGGGTGGATTGATGAGTAGGTGGGTGGATTGATGCGTGGGTAGGTGGGTGGATTAATACGTGGATGGGTGAGTGAATTGATAGATGCGTGAGTAGATGGATTTGTGGGTGGGTGGATTGATGCTTGGGTGGGCAGATAGATGCGCGGGTGGGTGTGTACTTGGTTGGATAGGTGCATACGTGGATTGATGGATGTGTGTTTGTGGGTGGATGGATGGGTATTAGGTTTGTGGGTAGATTTATATATGGATGTGTAGATGTTTGGATTGGTGGGCTTGTGTTTCATGGTGGGTGGGTGTTTGAGTGGTTGGGGGGGGGGGGGGCGGATTATTGCTGTATAGGTGGGTGTGTAGATGTTATGGTGGGTGTTTGAGTTGGTGGTGAATGTTTGGGTGGGTCGGTGGCTGAGTATTTGGGTCGACTGAAGTGTGATTGAATAGACGTATGTGGTGGTAGTATTGATGGTTGGCTGGATGGACTCGTGTATGGATCTCTATTTTTATGGATTGTTAGCTGGATAAGCTCATGGATAAGTAGACGGATATACCCATATCCTTGAAGACTAAAACCACGATAATCTAATGATTGCCAAGCGAGTGACACCTATCACATACCTCAACACTAACCATCTCTTAAAACCTAAAGTAAATTTAGAGCTAATCACGTACATGCAACGCTAAACTACGACGCGGGGCCACAAGTCAAACCTCGCTACGGCACTTTTATCTGGCCGTTGCTATGTACGGCGAGTAAACAAAACAAGCCGTTGTCAAGGTGTGCCGGCCAATTTTTTAAATGTCATGAATGAAGCCATGCCAGACAAGTGCACTGTCGTGTACGGTGCTGTCCCTTGACGTACCCATAAACCACGTGCCCGCCTACATCATCCAAGTTTGGAGTCAGAAGTAATTTGATGCAGGCCTAACACGTGAAACAAGAGTTATGGGGATTTGATTTTAATTATTACCTTAAATTGTAAAGAGTTAAGGGAATTTAATTTTAATTATTACATTAAATTGTTATGCGGATAGTAGTTTAATTATAACTTTTTAACTGTCAACAGCTATGGAGATTTTATTTTAAATGTTACTTTAAAACTGAAAAATTATTGGCATGTAGTTCAATAGTTACCAAAAAATTGTAAACTGTAATGGGGATTGTATCTATATATATATATATATAATTCTCTTCTGGGATCAGTTAGAAAACAAGCTGCAAGCGCGCCTTTGCAGTCCCCTCTCTTCCTCTCTATCACTACCACCCCCACCCCACCCCCACATGATCTGGTGAGCGGTGTTCACTCTGTTTACATTTTACAATCACAGAGATGGGTTTGGTGACGGCTATTAGGGGCAGATAATTTAGTTTGAAACGATTTTAAACTTACAGGAGGTAACTAAGAGGAGGCTGCTTTCACGTGGGGGGGGGGGGGGGGGTTAGTGTTTTTAAGCAAATAATTTCAATGGCAGCATTGGTACTGTCGAATTCACAAATTATAAATTACTGAAAAGTAGAAAAAAAACAACTAAATAGCGGCGTATGATACGCAGCGGGTCAGCTCGTTTTTCATATTACTTTAAACTGTGAAAAGTTAAGTGAATAGTGTTTTAATTATTAACTTAAACTCCGAAGAAATTTTGGGGATTGTAGTATAATTATAGCTTTAACCGGTAGAGTTGATGGGGATTGTATTTTAACTAGTATCTTACAATAGTTATATGGGTTTGTGTTGTTATTATTACGGTAAACTGTGAAGAGGTATGTGAATAGTATTAGTTACGGTATTTTTTTCCTTTTTGATAAATCTAAAAGTTTCAATTTTTTTTTTATAATATTTTCTTTGGGTGGCGGGGGTTAACTTTTTGGCGGGGTTTGTCAAGACTAGATTTATTTAGACAATGCGAAGTCGAGGTTTGAAGATGTTTATAGCTGAGACATGAGCGTTTAAAATCTATTAGATCATGCGCAGTGGCTATATTAAAACAATTGAAACCAATCGGCTTTGATCATGCACAATAATGGGTGTTGATTGTAGATTTTTTTAAAAGCATGGGCAAAACATGTTTTCGACATGAGTAGTGTGTCAATTTCTATGTTTCCGTCATGCGCAGTATATCAATTTCTATGTTTCCGTCATGCGCAGTGAGTCAATTCGTATGTTTCCGTCATTCGCAGTGTGTTTAATTTTATGTTTTCGTCATGCGCAGTGTGTCAATTTGTATGTTTCCGTCATGCGCAATTTGTCAATCTCTATGTTTCCGTCATGCGCAGTGTGTCAATTTCTCGTTTCGCTTAGCAGCCCACCGGCCAGACACAGACTTTATATTCAACTTAATCGACCACGAAAAGAAATGGATGCTGCCAAAACTCTTCAACGGAGCCGCCCCTTTAAAGGTCGCTCATGCTCTAAGAGGTAACCCTCCCACCCCTGCCGTACGGTATTTTTTACGGGTGTCCGACAATGGACTCTTCCAAAGATAAAAAAAATGGGAGCTTGATTGTTAGTTAATAGTAGAAATACAAAATGTCAGATCTAGCTAGCAGGCATACATCGGACTAGACGGGAGCGCTGCCTTCGACATGCTTCCCCACCGGGACGATATATATATATATATATATATATATATATATATATATATATATATATATATATATATATATATATATATACACACACACATATATATATATATATATATATATATATATATATATATATATATATATATATATATATATATATATATATATATATATATATATATCATACATAAAGGTAAAGTATACTTTAACCACCCTTGCCCCCACCCAACCCAGAAAATTTAAGTCCCCCCCCCCCCCCCCTCCGTCCACCACCCTCTTAGAGACAAGGAACCCTGCTGATTAGTCCTATATTTGAATTTGATATTACTTCCCTGCTAAAATCCCAAAACCCCAAAGCCTGGAAAAGTCCATTGTAAAAAAAGGCCGTAAAAAATGTATAGTTTACTGGAAAACAGCAGCTTACGTGTTGCTAATTTTAGTATAACTTTACTCTCTCTTTAATTAATTGCAACTGGATTTATATTCTCTGTACCACTTATGACAAAGGTCTGGTCCATTCAAATCAAGGGGGGGGGCAGCAGTGCCGGCGCAAGGATTTTAACGCCCTAGGCAAAACTTATTAAAACGCCCCCTTTTCACACAAATTAATTACTAAAATATATGCATAAGAAAACAATTAATTAAAAGTGACATATTGATTTATTATCAATTGCCTACACGTTATAAGTCAGTGGCGTAGCCAGGATCGTCTCAAGTGGGGGGGGGGGGGGGGGTTCCAATTTTACCCGGGGACAAACTTTCGATTTGCACCTCCCCCCCCCTCACACTTTCGATTTGCACACCCCCCTCATATTTTTATGTATACCGAAGGGTCTATGGGGGGGGGGGGGGTTATGACCACCCCTACCCCCCCCCCCCCCCTGCCTACACCACTGTTATAAGTAGACATCAAATCAAATTTTACTTGCCTCTCTCGTCGCAAAAGTTTTGTACTAATTTCATCAATTCCAGTTTGCAAGCGTAATCACATTCCATTGATATTGTTGCTAAGTCTATATATGAAAAGCTAATTGAAGACTAACACACGCTCACACACAATTGTATAATGGTGATGTAATTATTTCTAATTGAAAATAAAAGTATTATAAAATTTAGAAAAAAGGACATTTTATTTAAATCTTAGCTCCATCACATATTTATTATTATGTAAATTATTAACTTATATGCTAATGTAAAATATGTTGTAATTTGTTTTACTGAAAATAAAAGGATTTTTTTTCTTTAAAAAAATAAATAGAAAATAAATAAATAATTAAATGAAAAGCCAATAATTACATGTTTAGTTTACGACGTAGAATGTGTGTCTAGTAACATAAAGCATTGCAATCTACAACGGTTACTGATGTATGTGTTTTTTCAACTTGATAATGCTACAAAAACCAACCAAACAATTTTGTTTAGAACCTATGCTCTTTATAATTTTTACAATAGCAAATAATAACTTAAAGTTGTATGTATATGTAAGCGGTGAACCTAAGGTGCAGGAATTTGAAATGAATGTAAAATTAAGCAACGAATTATCTCCCATTTGGAAATTTTAAATTACAAAATTTTATTCAAGGGTAATAACTTTCAACATAATAGCAAAATAAACCATGTGTAGCTAAGACATGTGTGAAAAACACAATAAAACGCTCTAAATTTCATTAGGTAATAAATCTTTTATATTAGCTATGCAACCTTGTGAAAACAATATATTTTGCTTATTGAATACTTAACCGTAGGTTTTGTTTGAAAGTCTAAAAACGGTAGCTATATTATAACATACTTCAATTCCATTTTGATGACAAACATTCTTATAACGTGTATTCTGAATTCAAACTTTAAAATATTTTGGATCCCTTTAATAAAGGGACATCTTTCAAAACATCAAACACGGGTAACTGTTTTAGACATTGCTAGAATTATTGATTAAAATATAAAAAAATTATAATTTGAAAAAAAAGAACAGTCTACGGTTAGTTATAAATTCCACCCTATATAATATTATATATTAATCATCTTTAATAATAGTTTCGCTGTCTGTCTATGTATCTATCTGTGTATCTATCTATTTTCTATCTGACAAGAACGCTATAGAGAAAACACAAGCAAATTAAAAACTTTCACAGTAAGACGGAAACGAAACATGACGTCACATTGCAGCATATAGTAGAAATTAGTCTATAACCGGAGAGTGCTCACAGTAATATGACGTCATTGATTCTCGAGTAAACATTGAATTAAAAAAAGCCAATTTTGTCTAATCTTAAAAGTGGTTTGCTTGCAGATTTTCTTTCATGCAATTATTTGGTTAGGGGCGAAGCCCCAGCCCCCCCCCCCCCCCCCCCCCCCTAAAGAACGTTTAAGCCGCCCCCCCCCCCCCTCTAAAGAAAAGACGTCATCGACACTCTATAATAAAAACACTTACATTACGGCCTAATTAATGTGTCTAATCTTTAAAGTGTTTTGCGTGAAGAGTTTCTTTCATGCATCTCATCCCGGTAGATCGTCTATGCCGACCCCCCCCCCCCCCTCAAATAAATGACGTCATCGAGACTCAATAATAAAAACACTGACATTACGGCCTAAATTATGCGTCTAATGTTATAAGTGTTTTGCGTGAAGAGTTTTTCTTGTGGTTGGGACAAAGCTCCTTTACCCCCCCCCACCCCCCACACGGTGGAACGTCTATTCCCACTCCCCCCCCCCCCCCACGGTAGAACGTCTAATTCCCCCCCCCCCTCCTCCCAAAAAGGCATAATATAATTTATAGAGAAAATATATACTTTTACCAGTGTCGTCCTTCCCCGACCCGTCGAAATTCAAGTGCCCCAACCCCGGGAAAAAACCAACACTGTCTGAGTAAAATTTATATCATTCGAAAGTAGGAAACAGGTCTATATTATAGAAGTGGGCTCTACCTGTAGTTTGTATGAGCTACAAATGCGACCAGTGTTTCTTTCAGAGTTATTCCTCCCCAGTTTTCTATAAAAAGTATATTTCGTAGACGTGCTTTATAGTGTGTGTGTGGGGAGGGGGGAGTGCTAGGGGCAGAGCCCCCCCCCCCCCCCCAACACTTAATTCGTGTTTGAGATTAGGTGCAAGGTTTATGGATTTGACTGCGAATGTGTTTAGTATCAATGTGCAGTAACTACGTGTAGATCAAGCTTAAATCCGGTTAAAATGCAGATTTTGGATAAAAATCCGTCTTCAATTACATTTTTCGTTTTCGGGTTAAATTTGAAGTTTAGGTAGCGATTTTCTTTTTTGATTTCGAGTTAAAGAAAAAAGACACCACTACCAACCTAGCGCCCGTTGTATCTCTCCCTAAACGTGCCATTTATCTCGTACTTAAGAGTAGTAATATAGGTTCCTAAAAAACTAAATATTTTTCATTTAGAGAACGCCTAACTTTCTTTTTAGTATGTTACGTACTGAAATGAAATCAGAGTTTCACCCAGGCATAAAGTCTACCGCCCTCCCGAACGTAATAAAATGTATATAGAAAATATATACTTTTAACAGTGTCCGCCCCCACCATCCTACAGAAAAAGTCTACCCCCCCCCCCCCCCTTGAAATTTCAACCCCCCCTCCCCCCCGGAGAAAAAAGTCTGGAAGAAACACTGATTGAAATCATCTGACTTACGATAAACTCGACTACTCGATATACTCTACTATATTCACAACACAAACTTAGATACCTAAACATAACTAGACTCGATGCTCCAGAACTACTACACCAACTCGTTTACTTCACCAAACTCTACAAACGGTACTCCCAATCAACAACGATTTCACTGGACCTACTATTACACATCAACAGTCAATTTAATGCGATACCTTAATACCAAATCAATACTCACGAACTCCAGACTTACGATACTTTATCACCTGCATTCTCATTTCTCTATTACCAATCAGATTCCACTAGACCTTCAACTACAAAACAGCCGAATAAAAATTATGACTCTTTAACACCTCGATACTTTATACCTACTAAACCCCACCAGTTTCATATGCGCATTCATCCTGTAGTCTAATTCTATCGTCAGGACTGACAAAATCCGATAGTGAATCATATGTGCGTGTGTTTTGATATCCGCCTAACGCAAGATACTGTACTGATCGAACCCCCGGGGTTCCGTAGAACCCAGGCTAAGAACCACTGCCCGAGTTACTATCTTCAATGTCTCTGCTTGTTATACCACTATCATTATTTTCTTTTAATTTTTCCCGCTTGTAACTTAACGGTTCAAACTTTCATTTACGTCATACAATACCTCCCCCCCACCCTTTATCTGTCAACAGAGGCCGCTGACATGGAGGAGTTACGCCTTACCCTGGGGTTAACGGACGAAAACGTCCAGAACCTTCGCACGGCCTTCACCTATGCTGTGGAGGGCGACGAGAGACCGCTTATGGCGATGGGCATGGAAGAAAGGCAGTGGCACGAGGTAGGTCTGGGGTGGGGGGGCATGGGTGACAAGCAGTGGCACGAGGTAGGTCTGGGGTGGGGCATGGGTGACAGGCAGTGGCACGAGGTAGGTCTGTGGTGGGGGGGGGGGGGCATGGGTGACAGGCAGTGGCACGAGGTAGGTATGTGGTGGGGGGGGGGGGGGCATGGGTGACAGGCAGTGGCACGAGGTAGGTCTGTGGTGGGGGGGCATGGGTGACAGGTAGTGGCACGAGGTAGGTCTGTGGTGGGGGGGCATGGGTGACAGGTAGTGGCACGAGGTAGGTCTGTGGTGGGGGGGCATGGGTGACAAGCAGTGGCAGGAGGTAGGCCTGGGGTGGCATGGGTGACAGGCAGTGGCACGAGGTAGGTCTGGGGTGGGGGGGCATGGGTGACAGGCAGTGGCACGAGGTAGGTCTGTGGTGGGGGGGCATGGGTGACAGGTAGTGGCACGAGGTAGGTCTGTGGTGGGGGGGCATGGGTGACAGGCAGTGGCACGAGGTAGGTCTGGGGTGGGGGGGCATGGGTGACAGGCAGTGGCACGAGGTAGGTCTGGGGTGGGGGGGCATGGGTGACAGGCAGTGGCACGAGGTAGGTCTGTGGTGGGGGGGGGCATGGGTGACAGGCAGTGGCACGAGGTAGGTCTGGGGTGGGGGGGCATGGGTGACAGGCAATGGTACGAGGTAGGTCTGGGGTGTGTAATGATCGCCGTCTGACAGACGCAGAACAGGCGAACACCTCGGGTTCGTTTGATGTAGTTAGACAGAAATACTCTTGGACAGAATGAACACACCTGCATCTACGTGGGCTTGTTAAAATAGTCTAGGGGAACGAACACATAGGAAAGATGTTACTCAAACTATGCTTAACTGACAACTACTATTTAATCTGTGTACAATTATATACAAATGACACCAGGTCGAAGTAAAATATAATACAACTTAAGATCGATAATAAACAGAAAAAAGTCAACTTATAGATCTCTCAAGGTTACTGAAATAAACCTCCAAACTAGATAACAAACTATCGCCGATGTGACAAGGGTGAAATAATTCACCTAGAGAAAATATCAGTAACACTAAAAGTGGTCACACAATACCTTATATAAGGAGATAAAATATGCCACAAACTAAACAACTGAAAATGGCGCACAAAACATACGGCCCATCTCTCCCCTAGTCCAAAGTCAATCTAGCTGCCTCGAGAAGTCTCGTGTCGAGTTTATATCCAGGATCAAAACCAAGGGAGGTTACTGTAATGTTGTAAGGTCATTGGTCGATTATCGGTTAAGGATCTTCAATGTCATAAGACCATTGGCCGAGGGTCTGATAAGGATTAAAAATCCAATCACATCAGGTGACGGAGTTCAGTTGAACGAGGAGATCAGGTGACCTAACAACTCTCTCAAGGTCAACCACATAACTCAAGAAACTAAATAATATAAATAAAGAAAAGACCTAAGTAGGTCACAGGTGGGAGGGGGGCATGGGTGACAGGCAATGGCACGACGTAGATCTGGGGTGGGGGGGCATGGGTGACAGGCAATGGCACGACGTAGATCTGGGGTGGGGGGGCATGGGTGACAGGCAATGGCACGACGTAGGTCTGGGGTGGGGGGGCATGGGTGACAGGCAATGGCACGACGTAGATCTGGGGTGGGGGGCATGGGTGACAGGCAATGGTACGAGGTAGGTCTGGGGTGGGGGGGGGGGGCATGGGTGACAGGCAATGGCACGACGTAGGTCTGGGGTGGGGGGTGGCATGGGTGACAGGGAATGGTACGAGGTAGGTCTGGGGTGGGGGGGCATGGGTGACAGGCAATGGTACGAGGTAGGTCTGGGGTGGGGGGCATGGGTGACAGGCAATGGCACGACGTAGGTCTGGGGGGCATGGGTGACAGGCAATGGCACGAGGTAGGTCTGGGGTGGGGGGGCATGGGTGACAGGCAATGGCACGACGTAGGTCTGGGGTGGGGGTGGCATGGGTGACAGGCAATGGTACGAGGTAGGTCTGGGGTGGGGGGGGGCATGGGTGACAGGCAATGGTACGAGGTAGGTCTGGGGGGCATGGGTGACAGGCAATGGCACGACGTAGGTCTGGGGTGGGGGGTGGCATGGGTGACAGGCAATGGTACGAGGTAGGTCTGGGGTGGGGGGGGCATGGGTGACAGGCAATGGTACGACGTAGGTCTGGGGTGGGGGGTGGCATGGGTGACAGGCAATGGTACGAGGTAGGTCTGGGGTGGGGGGGGCATGGGTGACAGGCAATGGCACGACGTAGGTCTGGGGTGGGGGGTGGCATGGGTGACAGGCAATGGCACGACGTAGGTCTGGGGTGGGGGGGGCATGGGTGACAGGCAATGGTACGAGGTAGGTCTGGGGTAGGGGGAGAGATAGTGGCACGAGGTATGTCTGGGGGTGGGGGTGGGGGAGAGACAGTGGCACGAGGTTGGTCTGAGGTGGGGGGGGACAGTGGCACGAGGTAGTTCTGGGGTGGGGGGTTATTGGCACGAGGTAGGTCTGGGGTGGGGGCAGTGGCACGAGGTAGTTCTGGGGAGGGGGGGGGGGGAGAGACAGTGGCACGAGGTAGGTCTGGGGTGGTGGGAGAGACAGTGGCACGAGGTAGGTCTGGGGTGGGGGGGGTATTGTCACGAGGTAGGTCTGGGGTGGGGGGCAGTGGCACAAGGTAGTTCTGGGGTGGGGCAGTGGCACGAGGTAGGTCTGAGGGGGAAGAGACAGTGGCACGAGGTAGGTCTGGGGTGGGGGGCAGTGGCACGAGGTAGGTCTGGGGTGGGGGAGAAACAGTGGCACGAGGTAGGTCTGGGGGTGGTGGTGAGAGACAGTGGCACAAGGTAGTTCTGGGGTGGGGGGGGCAGTGGCACGAGGTAGGTCTGGGGTGGGGGGGACAGTGGCACGAGGTAGGCCTGGGGTGGGGGGACAGTGGCACGAGGTAGTTCTGGGGTGGGGGGGCATGAGGGACAGACGATATGAGGTAGGTCTGGGGGTGGGGCATGACAATAGCACGAAGTAGGTCTGGTGGGTGGGACAGACAATGGTGCAGCTGCACAATAGTGCAGGGTGTAAATCCTTGTCCTTGGAGTCGTTGAAAAATATTGATTTAATAATTTTTTCTTTCAGTGTATATTTGATGTCTCTTCTACCAATTACAATATTCTGTTTCTCTTCCCAATTATGAAATGTGATAATTCTCCTAACAATGACTAAAATACTGTTGCTCCTAACATTGACTAAAATGCTGTTTCTCCCCCACATGTAGGTTCAGCGCCTGTTCGAGGAGATTTTAAACAGCGGCTTCTTGCCCTAGACGACAACCCGGAAGTCATGAGATCATCAGGTCAAGGCTGCTTGAAGATCGACCAAAAGGGACCAATCAGAAGAAAGCCCCAACAATATAGTAGAACTTTCCATACAAATCCCGTGGACTATTCATTTATTTGCAAAATTAAATCCAAAAGTTTTCGTTTTCACATTTTTTTAAAAAGCGATCATTGATATTTTTGTTTTTAAAAAATAAAATTTAATAAAAAAAATATTTTTTTTTTTTTTTTTGAAATTGTGATATAGGCCTATGTTATTTAAAAAAAAATGGATGTGTGTTGTTTATTTTTTTTAAAATATCAGAACATGGCGAAATCGGTTCTCTTAGCCCACCTCCCAACTTTCAAAGTACTATGACCAATGTAAGTGTGTGTTAGCCTTTTTTTTCTCTTTGTCTTGGTGATCTCCGACCTCATAGATCACGTGTTTAGTAGACGACGCAGGGCGCTGCCATGATGTGGAATAAATATTCTTTAAAAACTGTACCCGTGTTGATTAATCTGAAACAAAAAAATTAAATATATCATGTTTGAGCTGTGTTTATAATATTATACATAGGAGGGCACAAATTATTTAAACGCTTCTTCAACCAGTACAATTGGCTCCGCATTCTTTGTTGACTATGTGCGAGAGGGCAGCGCACATCTGCGAAATCCAAGACTTCGAGCTGTTTTGTCCGTTGGATTCCACTTTGTTTCCTCTAGCTTATTTCATTATTAAAACAATTAGTCAACAAAATACCCATGAAGTATTCCAATGTAAACAATAAATGTTCCTGATAGCTTACTACGAATCTTAAGGGGCAGTTATTTGGGGTTTAGTAAAGTTTTAGTAAACAAAAATCATGCACCGTAATTATTAAATCTTCTCCGGACTGTCGCACACACATATAAACACACACACACACACACACATATATATATATATATATATATATATATATATATATATATATATATATATATATATATATATATATATATATATATATAGTGTAACCCGGGGTAATTCCATACACTACTTTTCTAACAAATTTGTAAAAAATCTAAAATTAACATACCACAATATAATATTGAGAGTATAACTAGACATGCGTTACTTATATGATGGCAAACAAATATAGAGATAATTCACAAAATAAAATACAATTTTAAAATATTTCACTTTTATTGCAAAAACATGGCAAGTGGGGCAATTCCACACACATTATGAAAATTTAAAAATTCATGTATTTAAAAATTTGTAGAAAACATTTTTCCCCTTGGAAACAATTTTGCATGGGGGCAACCACTCTTCATCACTGGATGAAGAGAAAGCCTCAATTTCTTCCTCCTGAATTCTGCTCTCATCTGTCATAGGTCGAAGTTATTTGTTTATAATTGTGGACCATTCTGAAATAAGAACAAAATTAAATGTTTAGTCTAATGAGTTATATGCTGTATGATAATTTTTTTAAATTTTCAATGGCTTAATATTGTAACCCAGTTTTCAGGCTTGTACTTCTTTCCCGTGCTTTCGTGTTGGATAACAGTTTTGATTTGTTTCGATCGATTTATAGCAGTGTGGTGTCCCTTTAAAAAAACAATTGTCTTGTCTTATCGGCGAAGTTGTTTACTGCTTTTGTTTGTCACTGGTACCTTATTGATAAGTTCTATCACTATCCAAATAATTCTGCTTTTTGATTTAATCACTGAAAGTTTAAAAAGTTGGATTTTTATGATTTTCTTTATTGTATTTCCTTTTATTTTGTCTCTTGTTTTAACCATTGCTGTTGTCAAGAAACTTTTCGCGTACAAAAGGCAAAATGCATGGGTATTCCAACACACCTGCTCTAGCAGGATTAAACAAAGAGAACTAATGCTGACCTACTACATGACGGATATTGTTATCATTTTTGTAACACTATATTTCCCTTGTTTGATCGTCTTTTTGTATACACAAGCAACTAATGCCACTTTATTTTTTTATTATGATTTTATGTGGGTGTTTGACTTTGCTACAATTAGCCTTGGCCTTAATCAAGTTGTGAATTTCATTTTGTATTTTATGTTGATTAAGCAATTTAGGAAGAAATTTCTAAAAATCATACGTGTAAGCAATGCTTGCTCCTGGAAAGCTCTTGTCAGCGGCCTAAGTCCCAGGAGGGGCAACAGGCAAACCTAACCTAATGATTGCTCTGAATTTATGAATATTTTGTGTCACACAAGCTGGTATGTATTGTTACATTGAAATGGCTACTTATTATAAATAAAAAACATCAAATAGCCATTCATTACAAGATAATCTCCAATGCTATTTGCACAATTAAAATTTTAATTTAGTTGTCCTAATTTTTTTGATAAGAAATTATCAGATGTTTAATTGTATTATTATTTTTAGTAAGAGAAATCCTGCTGTATATAAGCCTAAATGTTGACAACAGAAAAAATATATTGTTATGAAAATATGCGTTCTATTTAACACTATTTTGTTTTTAGGTAAAGTTTGAATGGAAATAATAAAATGTAATTATACTTCCGTATTACTTGGCTGTGTTATAGTTATTATTATTATAAGTGTTTCTTTATAAAAATCTCATGCAAAGTGCGACTAACCAGCGATTTATACCTAGAAGAGTATGCCCAGGTAATGGAGGCATTGTATTGTCCAGAAACGGGGACAGGTTGTCCATTGACCGTAGTGTACCACGGTCAACTATGGTCAACAATGCCTAATTGAATAATAAAAATATGATGTCGTTGAAAGCCTTTGAAAGCATTTCACATAATGAGTACTATGTGGAATAAAATAAGGCAAAATCAGATATATGTATCCTCTGTTAAGTTAATTCAGTGTATTTTTCATTAAGTGAGATATTTATTCTTCAACAGTTATCAACAGAACAGTAGTTTTGTCCTTCTTGTGCATTTTTAATTTCTGTTCTTCAAAAGAACGGAGCGAAGGAAGTAACGCAACTCGTAGTTTACAGCGTGACTAAGTAAAATGTATCTTATCTCCCCTTAATAATCACTTGAAAGCGCGGGGTTTGTTTGTATAAGTATAGGGACGTGTAAGTAGGTCACCGAATTCTTGTTTTCGCACTTGCCAGTTGACATTTTTTCAAAGCAAATGTGAATTTTGTTCTGATATCGGTAAAAATTTTAGAAACTTAACCTCCGTTAATGTTAAGTTGTTTAAAATCGTAAACAATGATAAGGATATTAAAAGATATCTGCTAAAAGAAAATGTAGCCTACGTTAAATTATGATGTATTCTTGAAGATACGTAGTTTGTTATTATTTTTCAGGGTTTTTTCCAGGCATCTCTTCGGGGGAGCTCCCTTTCTCCCCATCCCGAAGAAAGTCTACCGCCTCACCTCCCTCTAACGAAATGGAATTTATATATAAAATAAATACTTTTACCAGTCTCCGCCCATTCCCCGGAGATAGCAAGTGTCTGAAAGAAAAACTGTTATTTATTTGAATCCGTAAACGTTGTAACAATATTAATATACAATATTAACATAATATTATCAATAGCTTTGGTATACAGGTGCTTAATATGATTCTATTAATGCTGAAAACTTTATAATTGTTACTTTAAAATTGGTATCTTAGAATCTTGAAGCGATGCATAGAAACAAAAAGCCGACGCATGTTTGTCCTCAATGTGAATCATGTTTAAAACAATTAAATTTAAAAGTGTATTCCTTATATTTTTTAGTGACATTTCTTTTCAAATTTTGATGTGATCATATATGTAAAATATGTTTATACTTAATCACAATCACTGAAATTCTAGCTTAAGCTATGTTTCAAGTGTTACAAGCAATACATAAGCAATACAAGAAGCAAGGCTTTGGTTTCATGATTGAAATTAGCTTCAAAACTTTACGTTTGGGATAATTTGGTCTTTGGACGAGTCACGTGGTCGAGTCATTAAAGCTCATGGTTGCTAAACCGAAAAGTGTAAAATTCGAACTCTCGGGCAGATCAGGCTCGTTGGCTGGGAACTGACACTCTTCTAGGAGAGACAATTCCAAAATCAATCAACTGCTGTCATTTTGTTTGTTCGTGGTTTGACAAAGGCAATGGCCTCAATGGCGCATAACCAGTTGACACGTATAATTAATTGTATTCGAGAGACTCTTTCCAACACTAAAGTTAAGAACGATGAAGAAGAAGAATAGTCTTAGGACGATGTAAGATCTGGAGTCATGGCACTGAGTCAATCCATTCACTGTTTCAACAGCGAGATTAATTTGTCCCTATTTACCTTGTAATTTGACAAACTGGACTACTAACCCGTTAGTCTCGAGTTCGAATCCGGGTTCAAGTCAGTAGACCGTCCCTGAGTCCACCCAACTTTGATGGGTACCTAACTTACGTTAGGGAAAGTAAAGGCGGCTGGGCATAGTGCTGACCACACTATCTCTTCATATGCCGAGGTCACAGAAACAAGTGAACTCTACTTCACTTGCCCCATAGATCGTCAGGTTTGAAAGGGAAACTTTACTTACTTTTACTTTATTTTCCTTGTAATTTGACAAACTGGGAAATGTATAATCGCACATTCGTCTGTTACAGCGTCTAGCCTAGACACCAAACATTCATTAAACACAATGTGGCGCATCTACAAGTAGAATTGTAAAAGTTGCTCAAACAAATAAAAAATATAAATCCATATAATCAACGTGTCTAAACAAATTGGTCTTAAATGTAAATCTCTGAACACATCATAGCAGCTCTCCGACTTTATAGATGACCGCATAATTTTTTTAATGATAAATCACTCTGGAAAAATTTCGGATGATTAGTTGTGTTTTTTTAAAAATAGAAACAACAGTTGTCGATACATTGTGTTTTTAATTATATATAAGAAACTGTTTTCAATAATAGCTAGTACATAAGAATGCTCTAGGTTTTTAGTTTAAAACAAAAAGTACATCATGTTTATACTTGCGGTTGTAATTCACGTCCCCGCTTTTATGCTGGTCAGCTGGTCAAA